ATTTTTTTTTTTTTTTTTTTTTTTTTTTTTTTTTACATCATTTCGCGCGCGAAGATAATACACACACGCGCGCGCGTGTTGCAGTAAAACTTACGTGGGATCTTGTAGGCCAACTCGTTCCAACATCTTGGCCTTCACCTTCAAGGTGAAGTTTACAGCGTGATTTTATTTATTTTTTTCCTCGTTTTTTTTTTTTTTTTTTTTTTATTTTCCTCTAGTACCGCGAATATTTTTATACGCGCGTCGGCCTTTGGCACGTCGCTAGAGTTTTGCCGCTTGGCAAAACAATTGTTGTTCGCTGTCGCCAGTAATCGCCGAGAACGAGCTATTATAGCGATGCGGTGTAATATTTCGCGAGCTCCTATTGTCCGTATACGGAATGCCGCGCCGCCAGTCCAACCCGACCGTAGCGCCCGTGGCTGCCGCCGCCGCGGTTAAAAGGCGTCGCGCCGGTCGCTCAAAGGGCCGCGATACCGAGCGCAGCGATAATTGAAATCGCCCCCTCCACCCCGCGCGCGCGCGCACACACACACGCGCACACACACACACACACATACACACACGCCTCCCGCGCGCGAACGACTCTGCTCGACCGACCGACTTGGTGCGCCCTCTGTCCGCGAAAACAAAGGTCGCGCCGCGGCAACGTCTCACGTACCCAAAACGACGTATCGCCGTTGACAACCGCCGTAGGCCGCGCGACGAACGTGGCTACCGTATTTAATTGCGAGCGCTACAGAATCGTTTACGCCGTCCGGTGGTGTAACACCGTGGTCGCGGTTTCGACGGCCCGTTCGGGCGACCGGTGTCCGTCTCGCGCCGCGCGGGCCGCCACCGGTTACGTGTTACGCGAACGGGGGGAAAACCAGTGAAACGGCCGTATTATTCGCAGGCGAATATCGCGTGGCGGTGACCGTGAATGCGTGGCCCGAACCGAAAAGCGCGCGCGACGCGAAACACGTCACGGAAAACGGGCCCTCCCCCCCCACCGCCGCGACGATGCGATCGTCCTTTCCTTTTTTCTTTCGTTTTTTTTTTTTCCCCTCGCGTTTTCCCCTACGGGGCCGACGGCGATACGGTACGACGTTTTTACCATAACGCGGCTGTGTTGCGCGCGTGATAATATTGTTGCGCGCAGTCGTTACACATACGCCACTCGGGTGCATAATAAAACTGCGTACGGAGGACCGGGCAAGGTCCCGCGCGAAAAGGTCGACATTAGCACATTATTACGTGTGTTACGTTAACGCGGCGGGGAGGGCGGCGTTCGGCGGAGGGGAGGTGGCGGCGGCGTTCGGTTACGCAACGGCCGCGGTTATTAAAAAAAAAATATCGACCTCATATTGCGTTACCCGCACGCCCGCCCGTTCGCCCGCGTGACGCGTGCAGAGCGGCGGCGTTTATTCGATTATAATAATGTACGGCGCGCGGCCCGAGAGTACAGAGTAGAGAGAAAAAAAAAAAAAAAAAAAACGCGCGCGGATTTATTACGCGCGCGTACGTACTACGTAACGTTATTATTATTATTATTGTTATCGTAATTGGTGCCCGTACCGGCGCGCGGCAACACCGGCCGACCCGCGGTCCAATTCGACGCGATATTTCTCGCGTAACGACAGCGGGCTACGGCAGAGGATCGCCGCGCGATATTGCGGCCGGCGGCTAATCGTCGACCGCAATAATGGTAATCGCGGTAACGGCGCGCGACTGTCGCGACGACGCGAAAAACACACCCGGTCGAAACCGACGCGGGAGAAAAACGATTCGAAACAACGACGCGCGTATCGTTTCCCCCCCCCCCATTCTTTCGGTTTCGTCCGCGAATTATCACGCTGCCGAACGCGGTAAATAACATTGCGCGTCGGACGTTACCCGCCCGGCACGCGGTTTGCACGCCGAGGAAATACCGCGCCGAGGTTACCCGCGCGGCGGACTTCCTCGGAGCGGTATCCGGTCGGACCGACGGCGGGTACGGAACGATCGCCGCGGGAGTTTCGATTTCGTTCGTTTTGACCCGCCCGGGCCGGCAAAACGTTTTTTCAGCGCCCTAGCGTCGCGAGTTTCGACACCCGCGTCATTAGGGGGACGTTGTTACCCGCCCGCCGTCTCGGCCCGACTACCGGGCAACGCGCCGAAAACCGGAATGACCGAAACGGGTTTAGTTTTTGATTTCAGAGTAAAAGTGCGTATTCCGTTGCGAACCGTGTAGAGGACAGTATTTCGTGAAGAGAGAACGCCATAGGGGGACGACCGGTTGTGGGGGTCGGGTATTGTTCGTATCGTTCGGAATTGACTTTTCGCTTTTTCGAATAACCGAGTGTTAACCGGTTCGTAATAGATGGTAATTCGAAAAACACCGATAAACGTGTCCTACTCGTTGAGAGTGGACATAGTGGTTAGACACGCCGCCGTGTCTGTGTCCGGCGTTTTCATCGACCGTTTTTCCCGTCGCCACTACGCGGACATTAAAGACGAGGGATGACATCGTCGCGCGGCCCCCGGGAACCTCCACTGTCCCGCGCGCGTTTTCGTCCACGTGCCGCACAAATTGTCGTTTGTCGTTCGCGAATCGGGCCGAAATCGACACGTGACGCTATTGTAATTATTGTTGTTGTTGTTTTTTTTCTCTCTCTCTCTCTCTCTCTCTCTCCTTATATAATCGTTTTTCGCGTATCGCGGACAACGCCGGTCGTCGCCGAACAACGATAATTGGTCGCGAGGGCACGGTCCGGGCGATGGGGTTAAACTATTATAACGGCCGCACTCAAAAACTCGCACTCGCCGTTCGACGACAATACGCGCGCGCTGATCCCCGGGAATTTTTTTTTTCCGAACCGCGGCCGCGCGCATCGCAATTACGTTTCGAATCGGGTCTGCGTCGCCGATGCGCAGTAGCGCCCGATAACAGCAGTGCCTATGCGCGCGTGTGCATATACGCGCGCGCGTGTGTAAATCGTATCAATACTGTAAATAACGATAATCGAAAATGTTTGCGCCATTACGCGTCGCCGTCGTCGGCACTCGAACGCGAATCCCCCGGTCTTTTGACACACGCGTACGTTGTATGGTAATATCACGGCGTGGAAAAAAAAAAAAACAAATAATAATAATGATCGTATTGCGTAACACGTACGCCGCGGATATTATGCGCGGCCCGCGTCGAGTGCGGGGGCGGCAGCGGCGAAGAAAATAAAAAACGGTCGTGTACGTGCGCGTTGTTCGGGCCCGAACACGGTGCGCGCGCCGGTCGACACGCGAACGCCGCAACGACAGTCGCCCGCGTGTTGTAGGGGCGTAGGGAACACCGTGTCCGGGATTCCGGGAGACCCGCGCGCGACCCCCCCCCCCCCCCTCGCCCATTCGAGTCGCCCGCTTGCGACGGGGACGAGAGTAAGACAAATGTCCCGGGGTGACGGAGGGGACACCGGCGCGGCCGCTGTTACGGGCGGTCCGATGTGCCGCGGACGCCTGTACCGGATAACGCCGTCATTGCTGACGAAAAAAAAAAAAACCGATTCCGACCGGAGTCCGGACGGTATTGCCACTAACAGTGCGCGTGCCGCGGCAGAATAGTTAAACGGGCGTTGTATGTGTTTTCCTTCAATAACGCACGTGCATGTTGTTGAATGTACCGACTCTCCCGGGATTTTCCGCCGGCGAGCAGGAAAAGACCCATTCAGAGTAGCTCCCCGCTCCCCGGGGGGTCGGATTTCCTTTCGGAAAAGTCGCCGCGCTCGAAAATCGGACCGACATAAGAAAAAATCGTCACTTTCACGCAGATAAGAAATAAGATTAATTCGCGCGGCCGTCGCGTTTACGAATTCGTTTTTTCGCTCGCTTGTGTACCGGAAATTATAATAACAAAAAAACCCCGTTGTATAGTGAAAAACGCGTCGATACGCGGATGACGGTGAAAGATATTCGCGCGTTCGACAAACGGATCCGATTGTAAATGACGTCGGACGGGGGGTTTCGGCGTGGCGAGCGGCGGCGGATGGGGGGGTGGGGGGTGTGGGG